AATGGTGGGCTGTCTGTATTCTCAATATAAAATCGATAAGACCCATCCGCGACGGTTATACCTATCCACTCTACCGCTATCCACCGAATAGCGGGAAAACAATTTTCCACCTCGATGATTCCGCTCCACTCGAGAGAATTTTCGGCATTTCTGCCCTCCAACGCTGGATTGCGAATAATTGATCGCTAACGGAAAGTGCGTCATATATATACAGTAACGAGACAATGGCCAATAATCCGACAGATCTATTCTTTCGATCATCAAAAAAAAGAAAAACCGTCATTAGAGGCACCGCATCGGGAAGAAAAGACTTTTGTCTTTTCTGGGTGTAGGCCAGGATTGTTGTGCGCGATCGGTCGGTGCAAAAAAAGAAAAAAGAGGAAAAGTTGCGCAGTTGTGGGCGAAGCAGTTTGTCAGGAGACGTCGGTGATTCGTTTCGCCGCACGTGAAAGGGTGTCCGCTACGATTGTTTTTCTGCAACTGGACGTGCCTCGCCTCTATCATTTTGACGGATGACTCTTCGCTCTCTACGAATATCTCTAGGCGAAAGGCAGGAGAAGGAGGGAAGAAGGTGATCGAGAACAAGACAGACGTCGATAGACGGATCACGCTATATATATATATATATCCACTGTGTGTGATATTCAATTCTTGCGCCAAGGTATTTGCAAGAAAATCGGTTCCTGTAATTACCTTAATGAATGGTAACAAAGGCAAAGTGGCTTTATATACACACACCGAGCGGCGATATTATGCTCTCTCTCTCTTGCCGGTAGTCGATCTTTCTCCCTTCTTGCTCCTTTTTGGTCTATACTCCTCCTCCTCCTCCTCCTCCTCCTTCTACCCGGCAACTAAGACCGTTTCCTTCCCCATTACATTGTGGCGAACTGTTCGACTAACTTTGAAATAATTAGTCCGGATAATGAAGTTCAGCTGCACAATGGCCTTAGCTGCACAGGGTAATGAGATTCATCCTCAACTCATACCCACACCCTGCAACACCCTCGTTCTCCTGTGATATTGATTACTTAAAGCCCTTCAATGGTTTTACAAGGGGCTTAAGGGATAGGGGGAGAGGAGGGGGGCAGACGTATCAATCTTATCATCGTTGAGCGGAGGGCGGCGTCATTTTCGCGCCTTTCGTGTGCGTGACGTTAATTCGGTCGTTAATTAAATATGCAAGAAAGAAGAGAGATCGCGTTGAATGGGGCATTGGGGCGCATCTTCATCGACAAAGTCATCTTTCGAGAGTAATTATCTGGATTTACGATACTCGATCGATATCCCCTCCTGCCATCTATAAAATCCTTTTTTTGACTTGACTGAGTTTATGGCCTTCTCTATCAAAAAAAGAATAGTCTTGGAATTAATAAATAATTTTTTGTTTTTTTTTTTGTTTCTATTTCTCAAGTTTGTCTTCTATTCATCATATTTTTGACAAACTGACAATAAACGAGAAAATTCTATATATCAGAATGGAATTAAAGAGAAGGACATTAAGGAGAAGAAATTTAAGATACATTTTCCCCGGTATCGTGCAGTTAATTGAGCGAGGGAGAAACCAAGCAAACGTTGTACATACACACCGTTTCTCAGATAACTTATCGATAATGTTCATCGTTATCGAACGCTGCTGCTCCTCCTCCACCTCCACCTCCTCCTCCTCCTCCCCAGTGGCGAGCAATTCTTGCGATTCGCAAACGAGACTATCGTAAACCATAAGGAAGAAATTCTTCTCGTTTCTTGGGTTGCGAACTTGCGAAACGATTAAGCGATAAAACACGGTCTTTATCGTTCACCAATCCGAAAAATCCTTCTGTGCTTGGTAAGACACTCTTAACGCTCTGATTCCATCGTTAATCACACGAAGATACGGAAAAGTGTTTCTTGTTTGTCGTCGAGAGATAAAATATTTACAGAATGTGACCGTTATATATTCGTTTTGCAGAAAAAGAGAGATATCGTTGTTTATAATATTTCTGCATATTTCATGAAGCTTATTAAACAGCTTGTTCTAATTCTTTCAACCTATAAGCTTGAAATATAATATGAGAATTCAATTATTAGATCGATACAATTTTAATTATAGTCTCGTAGGGATTTGTTTACAAACTTTACAAATATTTCGATTACATTGTATATAAACAATCCTTGTAACTCTCTGTTGAATAATAAATAATACTCGATATAAATAGGAGAAAATATTTTCCTGATACAACCATATCTTCTAATGATACTTTCAATAACCAGGAAACATGGTCTCATTGTTGATAAAGTAAAATCTTATCGAGGATGTCCTTCTATTAGTTGCCCGAGAGTATCTTAAGCGCAGGAAAATTTAATGGAATTCAACTTTAACGAAGAGAAAGATCGTTTCGGCCCGGAAACCGTTCCAATTCCACGGCTAATCGAGCGAGGAAGGAAGAATCGACGCAGGCCGTGTATATCTTGTGGCTTATCGTCTCGAGCTATCGATAAAGTTTATCATTAAACAGAAGTTTGCCGAAACAGTTAACAATCCGAGTACAAGTTTATCCGAGACGATGCTCGGGGAAATTGTCCTTTTATTTCCTCTTCTCAGTTTGACAATAAATTTAATAAATTTTGATATTGAGCTTCGAAAAAGAGGGAAAAAGAGGCCAACTCGACTGTGACCGTGTGAATTCAAGATTAGTTTCCTACGATGGAGTTGTGTAAAGAAATGGTAAAATCAATCTTATCGGTCTTGACCGGATACGAACCCGCTTTGATCTTGTAACAAAGTAACCAAAGAGCGACGTGACTGAAGAGGATAGGTTTTCTACGGTTAATTTGTTTGGGAATATTTTTAATTTAAATTCAAAGTATTTATGATACTTCGAGTTACGTTACATTTAGATCGTGTCAAAATGTGAAATATATTTATTTCTTTTCTTTTCAAATAAATTCTGAAATTTTATATTTGAGAAATTAATTATTTTCATTCGGAATAATAGAAATTTTTTCTATTATTCGTGTCTCCACGAATAAATTATTTTTTAATTTTTTTGCATTCGTATATCTCTTAATAATTACACTTTTTTTTTAAATATAATTTTTCTTGAAATTAAATATTTCAAGCATGATGTATTTAGTTGTTAACTGGACTAGAAAAAATTTGAAAATTTGTTTACTCAGAATTGGTTTTTCTTCTTATTCTGATTATTATAACTTACTATTTATTATTGCTTTAAAATAAATCTGATTTATGTAATTACAATTTATTATTATTGTTATAGTAATCTTTCAATTATACTTAATTAATTAAATTACAAAACAACGTTTGCAATCGTTTACTTAATACTTAATTATTATACTCAATAATTGAACTCATAATAAAAAGAGTCAATTTTATTATCTGTTACAGTATATTAATATAGCTTACGAAATAGATATTTATTTCTCAAATTAAAATACAATTAAGTTTTCAAGGAGTCAACAAGAATTTTTTACTTTTCGAAATTTCGTTCTAACTTAATTAATCGTTCGACCATGCGAAATTTTCCTTTCAAAATTATTCGACCAGGTGGGGGGAACAAGAGCAATAGGATATATTCCGTTGAAATAAATTTTCGCGATAAATAGAAATGCACACATAAAGGAGGGGAAGAACGAGGCTTTTAATTTGGAAATTGCAAGTTTTACTTTGGCACATTGAAACGAACGCCTAACGAGGACACGCGCCCCCTGCTATCGACACGTTCCATCTGTGTAAAATTATTTTCCTGCACAAAGTAATTGACTTTCGAAATAATTGCGCCAACGGAATTGTAGTAATCCCTGTTTTGCGCGAACAGTTACGCACGATTTAAAATAATATGTTTATGAAGCAAACATATCCTGTTAATCCTAAAAAAGAAAGTTTTCATATTATATAATATTATTGATCTGGAAAAATTGAAGAGGATTTAAGAATTGTTTCTTCCATATCTTTTTACAATTTTTATAATTTTCAGAATACTACTTTAACACTTTTTTAATCTCATTTAAAGAGAAAATCGTTTCAAGTATTCTAATTATTTAATTAGAATATATTATATATATAAATATATATATTTAATAGAAAATATTTCGTTTTAATTTAATCAGAAATAAATCACAAGAAACGCTAAATCGATATTATCGATCGCGTGCAAACATCTTAACAAAGAGCGTGAAACGAAATCTCGAGTACGAATGATAGATACTTTGAACATTGTTAAGGTAATCCGTCAGTAAACTTTTGCCGCTCGTAGGGAACGTTGAGAAACTTAGCAGTGACATAATCTGCAATCATGTTGCAGGGATCCTCTTTCGGCACTGTTGAGTAATTGAACTAGTTTCCGGAGATAAGGCATTTGCCTGGAGAGAGCTAGTCGAGTTGCTGCTGCCAAGGATAATGAAACGCTAAAGATATTTTTCACAAAAGTTAAGGGGGCGTTTACCTGGAAGGGCTACCGTACTGGATGTCCTTCAACAGATTTCAAGACACAAATCATTCTACAATAAAATGTATAATTTGAATTTTGTACGGTGGTTGAACAGCATGAATGAGAAATTATTTATTTCTGAGGAGGAGATAACATCAAAATTTAGATTAAAATCTACTGTAATTTATTTAAAATTGACAGATTAAAAGAAATTCATTCCTGGAAATTTATAATATATCTCGTATTTAATCAAAATTTTTACAAGATCAAGTTATATATAATTCAAGTTATATATATAACATATTATTTCCTGTGATTACGAATTTTTACACGGAAGGCGTTGTATAAACAGTAGGAACAAGTTAATTTTAAACAAAACAGGATAAAATAAATTATCAAAGGGATATTCGCACGCTATAAAACAGATTATTATAATGAGATTATTATAAATTTTACAGGATTAAAGGATAAAAAACGAAATTTCTAATTGCTCCTGTATAAAGTAACACCGAATATTATTACCTTTAATCTCGATTAAATTCTTTTTTTTCTTAAAAATAATCTTTCATCTACGACTACTGTTCTCGATAACGCATTAAAACCTACGCGTTAAAACTTTTTTACCCCCCTGTTAAGCGCGATCTCGAAACGCATTTGCTACATAGTGTACGTAGGTATTATATCCATCGGTATGAGACCGACCGTCGTCATAAAATGCCTTCTCTTTTTATCTTTCTTCGATCTCGAGAGACGACGTTAAAATGCTTATCGCATTTCACGGAACATTCCACACTTTAATGTTGACACGATCATCCGGTTTCTTCGCCCTGTGTCATTGATAGTAATTAAACCGATTTTTATTATATATCGTAATTAAGGTTACGATTCACGGGTAGGGAATTAACGTGTCAATTAAAACTTGAACGATGCTTATGCTTGTCAACTTATGGGGGGATGATTCGACTTTCATGATATATATATATATATATATATATATATACATGCCGTAAATTGCTTAGTTGCGCGTAAAGTTACAAACCGATCACTTGGACTCGTTTTTTTCGACCCGATCGAAATTTACCGGTCAATTAGACGAATTGTTGATCGAAAAAGCTATTTTACCCAGTCAATCGGTTAGGAGATAGTGTTAGCTTTTAATTCAATGTTCATTCGATTTCACTCGGTTTGTACATTGCCCGTTGATTTACATCGGATTCGGAGTTAATTTCAAAGGTATCCACGCGTGTATCGTGAGGGTATCGATCCCGTTTTCGAATTTTGTTCACAGAGAATCGAAATAATTAACACATTCATGCACCACCAAAGTTTCATCTTGTTTCATTTTCCATCGGATTATTATTATTATTTCGAACAAACTTTTCTCCTCTCGTAATCCACGTGTGTCGTAGGACAAAAGGGGTTCGTATTCGCGATTAGGAAGGCATTGGTGATGCATATTTGATTCCATGCGCGAATAAATTTGTGCAACCCTAACGAGAAAACGAATTGCTGCCAATTAATCGTTTCATATCGCACGATACCTAATATGTCCCCCTGAATTATTTACACCGTTGATAGAACGGAAAATACGATTAGAGAGCCTCCCTGAGAAGCAATACGGTGATATCTCTGGTTTCAGAGGTGGAAATAAACTAGCAACGTTGTACTAATGCTGCCTTTCCTTATTATTAATTAATTTGCTTCGTGTAATTCCTTTAATAAATTGATAACGTGTGCATCAATTGCAATAAATTGAGAATGTAATGTAAACTTTTTAAATAAGAGAGTTAATTAATATTAATATTCGATGTCGCATTTCAATCTTGTTTCGATTGCTCGATGTAGTTTTATTTTAATTTATGATTTTGCTTGATATTTTCAGTAATAAATAAGAAGGAGATTTATTTTACGATAACGTTTAATTTATTTCTCAATATTAATAATATTGCATATCTTTTTTTTTTATTACTATTTTTTTTTTTCTCTCCCCTTCAAATCTAGATCAGAAAATGGTTAATAACCTAGATTTTAATGTAACTAAATAGAAATTAAAATCAGTTTCACAATTATTCGAATTTACACGTCTGTACAATTTGTATAAGTGAAAAGAAAGAAAGATTTGATGAATGCGTCGTTTGTTCCTAAATTCGTGATCTTCCGCAAACACAGTTTCCTAGAAAAGATGTTCGATAAAATGTAAAGATATTACTTTACCCTTGGAATCGAGCGTCACGAGCCAGCTGAGAGGATTATAACCGCCTTGCTGTTATAACGGTACAACCATATGCGTGCCTACATATACATATATATACATATACACGTACGTACAAGCGATTCAGCTTCGAGCTGAAATCGGAATAATACTAGCGCTTGTTCCCCGCGAATTTTCTCCACCTCTTCGAACTCGTTTCTGCGGAAGGAAGTGGTCGTGTTCAGTCGGTTACGGACTACTAAGAGGCCGTAAAATTTCTGTGCAAGAAACCCTTTCATTAAGACGTGAGAAACGGATTAACCCGATCGTGATTACGAGTCGAGGCCATTTTTTTTTTTTTTGTTCATCAAGAATATCATGTAAAACAAGGGGATGAGGAAGTCGTATTTAAGGAATATTCCCGATGAAATTGTAAAATTGACAGGAATAAGGAATGTACATGGTGTATGTTTTATATTGAAGTTTAATAAATCTTCATCTTCTTAAAAATTGAAAAAAAATATATATATATATATATATAATTAATTCATTTGTTGTAAAAATGAACAGGAATAAGGGATGTACATGTATGTTTTGTACTGAAGTTTAATAAATCTTTATCTTCTTAAAAATTCAAAAAAATATGTATATATAATTAATTCATTTGTTGTAAAAATGAACAGGAATAAGGGATGTACATGTATGTTTTGTACTGAAGTTTAATAAATCTTTATCTTCTTAAAAATTCAAAAAAATATGTATATATAATTAATTCATTTGTTGTAAAAATGAACAGGAATAAGGGATGTACATGTATGTTTTGTACTGAAGTTTGATAAATCTTTATCTTCTTAAAAATTGAAAAAAAAATATATAATTAATTCATTAATTGTTGTAAAAATGAAAGGCAAACTCTCGATCTCTTAAAAAAAAAAAAAGAAATTATACTGTCACGTGAAACGACAGACGAACGAACATTTATGCGTAGAACATTCTCGTCTCTACGAAACTGTCAATTAGCATAAAAACAAGTTATTTATTACAACCAGTTATTAAAAACGGTATAAAATCCGCATAAATTGGAAGAAGCAGGGAACACGCTTCTTC